ACATTGTAACAAAATGTTCTTTAATAAAAACAAACAACACATTCTTCTGAAAAAGTATCCAAACACAACAAACAAGAATCAACAAACAAGTTTACAGTCATAGCAATTTATAAATCATAAATGGTCACAAAATATTACTTTTCATCTCAAAAGGGTGACTGGAAGGTTCCAGTATTCATAATAATTACAATGCCATATTATATAACAGGCCGTGGTTAAACACCTCAAATCATCCTGTCCTGCCATGGCACACTTTCTTCGGGGGAGTTGAAGAAGGTGGTGAGGATTCCTCTGACATCCCACGCAGCTCTTCCGGCTCTGTTCCCTCCCATGTTTTGCACTGCAGCCATCTCTCTCCCTTGCTGCTCTGCCTCATTCAGCAGTCTTTGGTTGTCTGCTGGGTTAAGTAGGAAGTTGTGGAGGATTCAAGCGGTGACAACCAGTGGGTCAACGTGGTCTGGAGACAGGTTAATCCTCCGAGGCCAGAATGCCAAAGGCATTTTCCACCACCATTCTCGCTCTTGAGAGTCTGTATTTAAATATTCTTTTCTCATGACTTAAGATATTTCCCTGGGTAAGGTCGCATGAGATAGGTCTTCAAGGGGAAAGCTGCATCTCCCACCATGGCGAATGGCACAGCACCCAGGTGAGCCACCCCCGGTAGAGTGGCACTGGCTGGGACCTGAAGGGTTCCGTTCTCCATTCCTTTTCCCACTTGTGATCCGGCAAACACACCACCATCGCTGGTTCTTCTGTAATCCCCCACCTGGATTATCCTGAACCTGTAGTCAGGATCAACCACTGCAAGAAGCACTATTGAGAAGGTCTTCTTGTAGTTGAAGTATTGACTTCCAGACAGTGGTGGAGCCTGTATCATGACGTTTCCCATCGATAGCTCCTAGGCAGTTTGGAAAATTCCACTTGTCCCAAAAGCCTTTTGCCACCTCCTTCCAGGTTTCCTCCGATGGGATGGGCATGAATCTTGGCATCATTAGCTTCACAGCCGCGGCACACACCATGTGGACAGAGTTTGACACAGTGGTTAGGCCAAGTCTGTAGCTAAATGCTAGACTTGTCATCGAGACCCCTGATGCCAAATACCTGTGGAGACAAAAGAAAATAGAATTTGGGTGTGAAAATAAGTTGTTCTTTTTACATCTTTCTCCTTTTTCTTTCAGTTGACAGCTGCAAGCAGCGATGGAAAGTGCTGAGGGACTCTTTTGTGAGAAGCAAGAAAAAGGGTTCCCTGCCCAGTGGATCAGCTGGAGGTTTGCAGAAGGAATGGAGATACAGTGTGGCTATGTCCTTTCTGTTACCCCATCTCCAGCCAAGAAAGTATGTTTGAAATTATTAGTAGCAGGGATGTTTTTCTGTTGATCTTCCTATTTGATATTTTTCTGTTTCATGTGATGTAGGTCCATCGGCAGCATGCGTCAACCATCACCTCTTCTTGTGGAGGATGGGAAAAGCACCCCATCAGTGGTTGAAGCTGAGGAGACAGTCTGCACACAACCAACGTCTCAGGAGCCGAATACATCCATTTATCCGGTTCCACTCACTTCTGCAGAGAGAGGAAGGTCCACCAGGCCACAAAGCCCCACTGAGCCCATGTTTGCTCCCCGAGGCGCTAAACGCCCCTGGATGTCGCAGCAAACATGTGATGACATAGGTGACAGACTGCTCTCCATTTTACAGGACACCCCGCAAAACACACCCACACTTGATGCCGAATTAGCAGAATCCTATCATTATTGTATGAGCATTGTTCCTATTCTTCACAGGCTTGACAAAACTAATAGACTAGAGGCAAAAAAATTAATATTGACTACACTAACTAACCTTGAAATCCAACAACAGCAAACTCCTCACCCAGCTCATTGGCAACCCACCCCCCCTCAAATTCCAATACTGTCCAACATTACAGGTCACCACAGTCACGCCCCTGGATGCTCAGCATTCCAACAGTTTCAAAGTACCCAACCCACATTTAACAGACCAGTCGGGCCATATACACTACTGCTGACTCAAGCCCAGGAAGAAATGGAAGGACCAAGCACTAGTGCTGGTCATTTTCCACACCTGTAATATACAGAGTAAATTGTTCATTTTTATCTCGTCTTTGTTGCCTTTGGTTCTTAAGTCCTTTGATATTTTGTAACAAAGTTCATTGTATATTTGTAACTTTATTATATAATACCAGTTCTATTTGATTTTATGAAATTATTATGCGTTTTCATTAGAAAATAAAAACTGGTGAGAAAGAAGTGCTTTGATTACTTTTCTTACCTCACTGCAACAGCCAACCTCTGTTTGGGCTCTATAGGAGCTCTGTAGTTTGTTGATTGCCTTGTCAGTTCAGGGCCAATGATGGACAGAATGTTGTCAAGTTGTGCTGCACTCATTCTGAAGTACTGATGATGGCGTTGGCTGTCCAGCCTCAGCTCCTCGACGAGATGATGGAAATCACCCTGCTGTCTCCTCCGCTGGTTGAGGGGATGAACCCAGAACCTACACCTTCGTCTTCTCTGCAATATTGGAAGCAGGACAGCAAGCGCAAGCACTTTCCGTCTACTGAAAGCCACTAGAATTGAAACGTAAAACACAATGAACTTCAATGAGTCTCATGTCAGTTAAATACGAAATTATTAGGCATGTACAACTGTATTAACTGATTTATTAATTATTTATTAATTATGGCTCTAGACTGGGTTTGTAGTCCCCCGCTATGAACTACTCCAAAACCAGAATTACGCTGGGAGGGAGCAGCCCTAAAATGTCTCCTACAGTACCTCGGATCGCCACTAACATTATTCAGTTGGACTTTGAGCAAATTGGCATATTCTCCGACTTAACATACACGTATTGGCGATTATGAAACAGACAGAACATAAAACACCAACCTTTTGGAGCCATGTCGTACTTTTCTCCTGCTCGTTGTTGTGTTTACTAACGACGTCACGCGTGATTTTGCAAATGTCGCGTGACTTTGTGCTCTGTCGGTGACAGCTGCTCCCCTGCTGCTTCGCGTCTCATGGGAAGGGCCAAGCGGCAGTTTACGCGAGCAAGACGTGCTGCTGCAGTAACGTGCTGCTGACGGCTGCTGTGGAAACCCGGGGTCAGTGATGCGCCTGCAGCCTCTCAGAGTTCCTGCTGCTCTAAACATTGAAAGAATAATTTCATTTTCTGTTCCTCACTTCTGATTACCTTCAATGGTGTCTGTTTGTTGCTACCACCAGGTACAAAAACTAACTTGTTTTTATTTGATTATTTTTCTGTCCTGACTGTTTATTATCTTCCTGCATCTCCTCTCAATCCTGAAGAAAAACTGCTACCTGGGTTCATATATATTCACCTCATGGGTTACCTTTGAACTGCAGTTCTAAAAAATCTACCGACTACAAATGTAGCGGAGTGCGCGCCGGCCGCACCGCTGCAGAGAAGTCTCCGGAGGATGAAACAGGTGATGAGCGCTCGCTCCGCAGCAGCAGCGAAAAGCATCAGACACAGATAAAAGACAGAAAGCATGAAGGATATGAGCCGACATGAACGATCGCGTGTTAAATTTGTTTTTGAGGTGGCGAGACTTGGATAACGTTACTGTGGCCGTGCTCAGGACGCATCTGTCTGGAGCGCGTCAACGATCAGAGCTCTGTGCCTCACAGCTCTAAATAATCCCCAGAGTCCACATAGATAATTTAATATAAGCAGTACCAGGATCGTTTTCGGGCTAAAAAATAGTCTACAGTCCATCTTCCCTAATGTGTTTGTGGCCCTGCGGATCTTTCTAACTCTACCAGTTACAAATTGTGAAGGGGAACGATCATTTTCACAAATGGCAAGAATAAAAAATGATCTGAGAACAACACAAACTCAACAGCGTCTCAGTACACTGTCACTGATGACCATTGAATCTCGGCTTGTCAGGAATCTGGACTTGGATGACATTGTAAATGAATTTACTAACAGAAAGGCCAGAAAGCAGTTTTTCTGAAGGCAAGAGGAGACCAACAAGAGGAGGAAGGAAACAGGAGACAAGAGGAGGAAAGAGACAGGAGGAGACAAACAAAATACATGCAGATATTTCATCTTTGCAAACTTTTCAATAACTGTATAATCTTTTAAATAATTCTGCATTACTTTCTGTTGTAGTTTGACAGTGGGATCTCTTTTACAGCAGACTCACTCGCCCCCACTGTCCCACAGACTGACAACATTTTTGTTATTACAGACAGAAGAGAAGACAGGAGCACTGTGAGGAAGAGAGAGACAGAAAAATAGGAAAAAAAGAGAGGACAGAAGGAAGAATGACATATGAGTGAGGCACAATAGGAAAATCATCAGGTATGAGTGTTTGTGATTAGGTTATAAAACTATCTTGACCTGGAGGTAAATGCTTTTGTATCAACATAAGTAAGCGATTTTTAATATTGACGGTGTTATGAAATGTCTAAAAAGTGCTGCTGGGTGAGAACAATGTTGGGGGGGGGCTAAGCACAGTGTGCCCAGGGGCCCCTGCAATGAAAATCCGGCCCTGCCCAACAGTGAGCTTAGCTGCGTGTGACTGATGCAGAGTTGGTTTTTATACCTGCAGAGAGACAAAAACTAGCCTCACTTCACTCAGAGATTGTTCTTTAAAACTCGTATTAAATCCGCTGTGCTGACGCACTTTAACCACTTAGTCGCGCTGCTCTTTAGCTGATATGGGATTTATTTACTGGATGCTAACATCACATCACACTCACGGAGTAACACACACAGGCGCTCTGCTGCTACAGTCAGTGGAAGGTTATCATCTGGTGTAAAAAGGCGTTCATCACAATTCCCAGATCACGTTTTATTCCACGAAAATCGTCCGAATCCACATTAATCTGGGTGCTAACTTTACTAGCATGCTGTGCTAGCGTCAGCAGGTGGGATGCTAATGCTAGCACGCTGCTAATGCCCGTAAATGAACGTGTACAGTAAAGTTAGCCGACATTTTAGAGTGATATGAAGCTTACCGCTCTGCTGCTGTGTCGAGCTGGGTCCAGCCAGCCGCGGGGCCTTTCTGCTGGGCTAAACTAGTTCGTGTCGCACCGCCACGGCTCAACAAATGCCACCACACCTATAAAACACACTTTTGTTGCCTTTTCTAAGATATGGTAATGACTCCAACTTGTTTCAGTTTCGGATCTTTATTCCGGGTTACTGTTGGCCGCAGCCCACGTCTTAACTCCAGCAGAAAACTGGTGTCAAGGCAAACCAGAGTCCAGTTTGTTATCTGTTCCCCGTCTATTCAAGTTATTACGGGAATGGATGTGGAAACCGGATTTCAAAATAAAATTCAACTTCGAGTGAATTATCAGATATTTTAATCACTGTGGGGTTGTACACTGTTGATCTAAAGTGGAATTACCCTGTGGAAACAGCAACTTTCTATTTTAGAGCATTTTGAAATGACTGAAAGTTTGGTCGCATATGGGCAATTTAAAAAGGCCTTTATTTTGGAAGGCAACGTCAGAATGACTTGATATTGATATGGTATCACTGTGGGGTTGTATACTGTTGATCTAAAGTGGAATTACCCTGTGGAAACAGCAATTTTCTATTTTAGAGCATTTTCAAATCACTGAAAGTTTGGTCGTATATGGACTATTTGAAAGGCCTTTATTTTGGAAGGCAACATCAGAATGACTATATATTGATAAGGTATCACTGTGGGGTTGTATACTGTTGATCTAAAGTGGAATTACCCTGTGGAAACAGCAATTTTCTATTTTAGAGCATTTTGAAATCACTGAAAGTTTGGTTGTATTTAGGCAATTTAAAAGGCCTTTATTTTGGAAGGCAACATCAGAATGACTGCCCACCGGAGGAAGACAGAAAGTCAGTAGACAGGGTGAGGGTGTCTAAAAACAGTAAGCCTGCTAAAAATAGATCTCAGCATGTCACTAAGCCTTTTGCTGCACAAAATACTAAGAGCTCAGCTTCAAATGTGGATGCTCCCCATCACACCCAAAGCGAGATTGTCCCGCTAATGAGGGGAAATGCCACTCATGTGGGAAAAAGGGACATTTTAGCCGCATGTGTCGGAGTTCAAAAGGGGTTCATGAGGTTACACAAGAGGAGGGAAAAGAGGTTTTCCTCGGCAGCGTAACAACAGAAGGTGATCCCTGGACGGTCGACATCAACATTCAAGATAAAAACATGATGTTTAAGATCGACACAGGCGCTAATGTCACAGTTATACCGCGCACTGTTTTCAAAGGGCTATTTGAAAATAATCCTCCCAGGCTCCAGAAAGCAGGAAAACAACTCCTAGGACCTGGGAAAATCCCGTTGACAGTTGAGGGCGTCGTCAAACTGCGGCTGCAGAGAAAGGAGAGTGGAGATGGAGGATGTTTATGTGGTTCGTCCCCTGCACACCGCCTTGCTGGGAAGACCTGTGAGCTGTAAGTTGGGGCTCGTTGCACGTCTGGACAGTGTCACAACAGAGACATTAAAACAAACCTACCCAAAACTATGCAGTGGTGTGGGGGAGGTGCAACAGCCATAAAGCTGAAACCAGGGGCTCAACCGTTCTCACTGAAAGCTCCGAGGAGGATCCCAATACCATTAATGGACAAAGTTAAACAGGAACTAGCCCGCATGGAGGACCTTGGGGTAATATGCAGGGTGGAGGAACCAACCGATTGGTGTGTCGGCATAGTGGTCGTACTGAAGAAGTCAGGAGCTGTGCGCATATATGTGGACTTAACTAAGCTGAACGAGTCTGTGCGCAGAGAGAAGTTCATTCTTCCATCAGAGGAGGAAACACTGGGGAGACTGGCTGGAGCCAGAATTTTTAGTAAGCTGGATGCAAACATGGGGTTTGGGCAGATTCCCCTAACTGAAGATTCAGCTAAATTGACAACTTTTATCACACCCCTCAGACGCTTCTTCTTCAAACGGCTACCCTTCGGCATAGCTTCAACTCCCGAACACTTCCAGAACCAGATGGCAACTGAAGTCACAGAAGGATTGGAAGGAGTAGTGTGTCACATGGACGACGTGCTCGTGTGGGGCCGCACGCAAGAGGAGCACGACGCTCGCCTGCATGCCGTGCTGACAAAAATTCAGAAGGCTGGAATCACCTTGAACATCGCAAAGTGTGACCTGTCAAAGTCAAAGGTGAGCTTCCTTGGTCACGTGGTCTCTGCCAGCTGCATCAGCCCAGACCCGGCAAAGACTGAGGCGGTGAAGAGGATGAAGGTGCCGACAACTGTGAGCGAACTAAGATCATTCCTTGGGATGGTGAACCAGCTGGGGAAGTTTATCCCACAGCTGGCAGAGAGGGACAAGCCACTACGAGTCCTCCTCTCTAAAAACTGCTGGATGTGGGGTGCCGAGCAGGTCAGGACTTTTCAGGTTCTAAAAGATGCACTGACAGCGCCACCTGTCCTAGCCATGGATGATCCTAACAGAGAATGTAAAGTTTCTGCAGATGCATCTTCATATGGCCTGGGTGGAGTACTGCTACAGAGATGGGACGAAGAATGGAGACCAACAGCCTACATGTCGCGGTCGCTCACACCAACGGAACAGAGATATGCTCAAGTGGAGAAGGAGACATTGGGGCTGACTTGGGCCTGTGAGAGGTTTCGAAATTTCCTCACTGGAAAACATTTTCAGCTGGAGACTGACCACAAGCCTCTCCTGAGTCTTTTAGGATCGCAGGCACTGGATACTCTACCTCCTCGGATACAACGCTTTAGAATGCGCCTGATGCACTACTCGTACTCCATATCCCATGTAGCGGGAAAATCTCTGTGGACTGCAGACACACTGTCAAGAGCTCCAGTAATGAGCAAAGAGACAACAGATGAAAAAGAGCTGGTTGAGGACACCAACATCTACGTCGACACAGTGGTGGAAAACCTACCAGCAAGTACTGCGTACCTGGAGGAGTTAAAAGACCAACTGCAGAGGGACAGTGTGTGTGCACGAGTGATGCAGCTGTGCACAGAAGGATGGCCCACACACAGCATCACAGAACCAACTCTGAAACGGTATTGGAGTGAACGGGCATTTGTCACGGTCCAAGATGGTCTTCTGCTAAAGGGACAAAGACTGGTCATACCTGCTGTTATGATAAATGATGTTCTGTCCAGGCTGCACAAGGGACATCAAGGCGTGGTAAAGTGCAGAGAGAGAGCATGCCAGTCTGTGTGGTGGCCAGGGTTGAGTCAGCAGCTGAACGAACTGGTTCTAAACTGCTGGACGTGCTGTCAGGAGAGGCAGAACCACAGGGAGCCACTGATGACGACACGATACCCAGGTCGGCCATGGCAGAAGTGCGGAGCGGATCTGTTCATGTTGAAAGACAAAACCTACCTTTTAGTGGTGGACTATACATCGAGGTACGTAGAGATTGCTCTTTTGACACCATCTAGAGCGGATGATGTCAATCTTTGCACGCCACGGCATTTGTGAGACTTAAATCACCGATAACGGACCGCAGTTGTCAGGAGCAGCCTTCGCTGAGTTTGCCAAAGTTTACGGATTTCTCCACATCACCAGCAGCCCGAGATACCCCCAAGGAAATGCCGAGGCTGAGCGAGCGGTGCAGACGGTCAAGAGACTCCTAAAGAAAGCGAAAGACCCCTACCTAGCCCTGCTGTCATATCGGGCGACTCCGCTTCAAAATGGCTACAGCCCCGCTCAACTTCTCATGGGGAGGAGAATTCATACAACTATGCCAATGCTTCCTGCTCTACTGGATCCTGACCGTCCAGATGAAAATGTTGTGGAGCTTAAGGAAAAGGAGAGGAAGAGGAAGGATGCACAAAGCTATAATCTGCGGCATCGTGTGCACAATCTCAGCAGACTCACACCTGGGCAAGAAGTGTGGGTTACAGACAGCGATGGGCAGTAACGCGTTAAAAGTAACGCGTTACAGTAATCCAATTACTTTTTTGAGTAACGGGTAAAGTAAGGGATTACAATGGCAAAAATGTAATTAAACTGCCGTTACTTTGGTTTAAGCAGGCTGCGTTACTACGTTGAGTAGAGCGCGTCTCCTGATGATGACGTCTAAACGCGTACGCCGTCCATGATAGAAAACAACTGATGAGAACAATGGAGCGTGACAGAGAGCATGCTCGTTCGGCGTTTGATGGTGGTAAGTATCGCCACTACTTTCAGTTTGATTCTGTAAAAAACGACAAAAATATTAGTGTCCGCTGCACACTCTACGTTGGAAGGAAACTTTTATCTGCAGCAAAAAACTCAACTTCCAACCTTAGCAAGCACCTAGCTAACCGGCATGGGAATGTGAAGCTCACCGAGAGCCCGACTGGCATCACAGCTGCAGCTGCTAACGTGGATTCTACATCAGACGGCCCTACTGCTAGTAAACAGGTGAAAATAGATATAAAACCCGCCGGGCTTGGTGCCGCCGAACTGAAAAAGCTTGTCGCTGGTTATGTAGTGGAGGAGATGTTACCGATTTCCACTGTGGATTATGAATCATTCCGACGCATCATAGAGAAAATTCCGACTAAAAGTGGTGTCAAACTACCCCAGAGAAAGTCATTCTCAGAATACCTTGAGCGAGAATATGACATCATGAACTCCAATTTGAAGGCAACACTTGAAGAGGTAGACTTTGTTTCCACTACTGCTGACATTTGGACGGCGAATAACAAAAGTTTCTTGGGTGTGACAGTTCACTGGATTAATTCCACTTTACAGTGCAACAAGGCGGCTCTTGCATGTAAGAGGATTAAAGGCAGCCACACATTTGATGTGATTGGAGCAGAGATTGAAGAGATTCATTCCACATACGGGTTGCATGGCAAAGTTGTTGCCACAGTAACAGATAACGCATCCAACTTCGCCAAAGCATTCAGCGTGTATCAGTCCTATGATTTGGAGTCTGAATCTGAAAAAGAGAATGATGAGGAGGAACCAACTTTTACAGATGTCATAAATGTTCTGTCAGCCCCATCTACTGAAGGTCAGTTTAGCCTGCCTCCACATTACAGATGTGCATCACACACCATTAACCTGATATCAACAAGTGATGTTGAGAAACATCTAAACTCCAGTGCAGAAACCAAGAGTGTGTACAGGAGCAGCATGGCGAAGGGCTCTGCTCTTTGGACTAAAGCAAGTCGGTCGACATTAGCTGCTGAACAGGTGGAGGAAATCAGCTGCAGGAAGCTGATGGTACCCACATCCACAAGGTGGAATTCCCTGTATGAAGCAATTTCAAGAATCCTCACTA